GGTTTGCCCAGATTTCTTCGGTTTCCCCTTACAATTTTCATTTCACCAACTCTTCCACATTCATTAATGATTCTACCATTCGATGCTATGTAGCCTGGACACTGACAGCGTCCTTATTATTGTTATTATTATTACTGGAGAGGGTGGGTTTCCCCATGCACCGCGACCAGTTGTTGATCTATTGTACGTCCCCCTTTGATATTCTACCAGTCTCCATACCCTACCGGTACTGGTGCGTGCTATCAGCCCCGTTGAGCCAACGAGGTCGGCCCTCGGTACCTTGATCCTTCCCCCATCTATCAGAGGCATTGGAAACTACTTGGGCGGGAAACTTGCCTAATTTTGCTCAGAGGTCTCCTAGAGACATGAGGATCTTTTACGTGCCTTAAATCTACGACACGGGACCGACAGCGTCCTTAAGTAACCGAGATAAAGAAATGGGGAGAGGAGTTAAACCCGTAGTTCACTGATCACTGTATCGTTGGAACCATAAACCATATCCTGTACGTTTCTCCAAACCCGTCAGAAGCAAATTTTGCCAGTTTCTTGCGAAAACCTTCTCAAAAATTTTCTTGGTGATGACAGTAATCGACCCTTCACATCCTGCACCGTGCGATCACACATGATTCGACCTTCCTGCGCGTCAAGTTAAAACACTTCCGGTTGTCTCTAATTTTTTTCACCAACTTGTCGGTGCACTTCCTTCGCCGTACTTATTCCGAAATACCATTTGACATTGTTTAAATGAATCCGTTCACCAGTATTCACGAACAATAAACACGCACTGTTCAGTTCAGTACATATTTGTGGCACACGCAATCACTGTACTCTGAGTCAAACGCTTGTTTGGCGGTCGCATCTCGACGTCACGAGTACAGTCCCCTTCGTTGAGGGGTGTGATGGTTCTGCTTCGATAGACGTAAGCTTCCCCATGTCAATTTTCATAGGGAACCATACAAAAATTGAAAAGTTACTGAGGAATATTTGGGGTTTCCTAGCAAGAGAATCACACTGTATTACGGAAGAGATTCCTCGTGTGCACCGCTCGAAGAGCACCTCCACGGCCTCGGAGCTAATACTCGTAAGAAGGGAACACGCTCTGGCTTGTTGCCCATGTCTTGTTTACATGAGCTTCATGGACATGCGGAATATATTATAGCTTTTCACTGTCTCTTACATGTTTTCCGTCCTGGAGGAAACAGGGAATTCGGAACGCAGCTCAGAATCTACTTTCGTATTGCACACAGTTTTAGTTCTGCACACCCATTGCTATTAGCTGAGCTAAGGCTATCTCTGTAACAGGCTGAGGAGGCCCATAGGGATGTGAGGCGTCGAGGTTCTCACACATTCTAGGCAATCGGTTCGCAGATGGCGGTGAGGCTGTAAGCCTTACAAGCCGGTCACCCTCTACCCCCCAGGAAGATTCCTGGTACTCATTGTTGTGCCGTGAATGCCGACTCCCGGTAATATGTTAAAAGAGTATTTAACTTTTTGTATTTCAGGGGAAAATGTTGGTTGGAATAGAATCTGTTGGGAAATACTTGTAAGACGTACGAAAGAGTATGTAAGAAGGGTTAAGAAACTTCACGGAATTTCTGCGTATGGAGTTAGACGGCCGTTAGCCTTTGACGCGTCGATGTCTTGTCAGCAGAATGACGTTGAATGTATATCGAACTGCTAACTACAGAATTTACGTTTGAGTGATGGGGGGACGTTTTGGAGGTAAAGAAAAGGCTTAGCCCAGTGGGCTAGCAGTAGAAGGGGTGTGTCCACCCTTAGGATCCCAGCCAACGAGATCACCCACCTTGGGATAAAACGTCATTGGAGGCGGAACTTACACCCTCCGGGAAAGTATGAGTTAGCATGAATAAAGATATATAACCCGGAGAGCAAATTATTATGGGGATTATTCAAACAGTAATTTTGGCCCGTTTGCGGCCGTAGGCCATGTTGGAAGAGGCACCGACTAGACATCAGGCAACGCCATCCGTCTGCAGACTCAACCCAACGTAAGTGGAACTACTCTTATCGCCATGCTTAATAATTGTGATATTATTAAAGTGTAACTCCTCCAATGGGACATGAGTTAGGAACATTACAGCAAGTGTACAGGGCGTAAGAGTGATCCAACGGAGTGATGCAGAGGTAGACAGGTGTAATGTAGAGGCTGCAGAAGGGGTGTCTAGCGACAGGGATGTGTATATATGTACAGTGGTTGGGTAGGACAGGAGAAAGAGGAGACTAGCGACCCACAACTGGGTGGAAAAGAGAGAGAAAGATGAGGTCCAAGAATCGTCTAAGAAAGTGTGATGTGTAACCCGACACCAGTCGGCTCTTTGATTGTGATAGTACCAAAATGTATATAACTGTATATTGCTTGTTTATACTAACCTAGGGTAGCATAGGGTGGGGATGTGGGTTTCTGTTGTTGTGATTTCCTCCCTTACCACATTTCGCACCTGCGCCCTCCTGCCAAGCCCGATGAACAGTGTGCCCCTAGCCAATGAAGCAACGATAGAGGAAGTAATTTAGCAGTTTCCTTAGCCCACCCCTTATGACTGCAGGACAGAAGGTGACAGCGGGATGCCTCCACGCCCCCTGTCACCACGGCACAACATTCATTTCTGTTGGAGGCTGAGTCGATCTCAGGACCACAGTGCGGCTGGAAAGATTAGGTAAATCGAAAAATCCAGTGATCTTATTGGGAATGGAACCCGCGATCTTGCGGCTTATAGCATAGTGCCTCAACCAACTATGCTACCGCATGTCCCGTAGAAGGAAAGCCAACAGCACTTGGTCTTCCCAGGCGGTCACCCATCCAGCTAGTAACTAGCCTCAATGTTGCTTAGCTTCGATGGTTGAACGAGAACCGGTGTTTTCAACATGGTATCGCCGTTGGCTTATTATTATTATTTTATATTATTTAGGCTTGTGTAGAACTTAAGTTACGTACATTTGTTCAGTATAGCCACAGAGATTCACACCCACTTCGTGTCTGGAGATCATGACATACAAGAAATGTTTTACACATTATGTGCAGGGCATGAGAGCAACTCTACCTAGTGGCAAATCGCAGTACTAATTTCTTCACATCCTGTCCATCTATCTGAGGAAGCAGAACTAATTTCCTAAACGTAGCGATTTTTGTAAAACAAAGTTGATTTAGAAGCAATACTTGACACTTAATATACAAGTGACTGTCCACGCACCAACCAGTACGGGAATATCTTATCCTCAGATTTTACATTTGTATCTTTCGTTTTCAGAATACAGACAGAACTTCACAAATTAATATTATCAATGTATGTGTGGCTACAGACGGGGTCTGGACTGGTGACTCGATTTATTGACCACTTATACACTCACGGCTCGTGACTCCACTTCACAGATCACTGCCACACACATACACTTGTGTCCTCAGTCTTTTACAGCTTCAGTAGCCGTTTCTTGGCAACGTATTTAGCGCAGGAACTAAAAGAGTCTCATTGAATTACATGCTCCAGATATTACACATAAACTCTTCTCTTCACAGCCGGACTTTCAACTGAGCTCTCTCCCCAAACCGTCCCGTTTATAACATCTTGGCACGGACCACATACAGAGCACCGTTCCTCTGTTGTTATACTATTGCTGCGTTCGTGTCTGTCTCTGCGGGAACATGTTTACTGAGCCGTTGCCTTGAAATGGCTCTGGTATATTTACTTATCTTGACAGTCAAGTTTGTCTTTACGTCACGCTTCGTGGCCTCTGAAGAGGCAAGGAAATCCTTACTCATGATCACAATTGGGTAATAACGATGTCGGGGCAACACCTTACATCAGGCCCCAGCCGCTTCCTTCCAAATCCATTCCAAAACAATCATTCGCTATCAAACGATCACTGGACGATATATAATCTGAGTTAGGGGCATCATAGTTAAATAAACAGTAAACGAACGAGATTAATGATAAAAATAAAGTTGTCCCCGTGCTTAATTAATTAGGAACTACTCCATGAAGGCGTATGGGGAAGTGGATGTATAGATTCATATTTCCTTGACCTCGGCACTAGTTTGAGGTGAATGGTTAGCTTCATGCCTCGGCTGCTTTTACAGCGGTAACTGAAGAATGTTCTTGTCTGAGCTATAACACCGCGTAGTTCGGAAAAAGCCAAGCTTTTGAGAGAAAGACAAGCTCAAAAGTAAACCAAACAAGAAACGAGCAGAAGCGCATGCCAGTTTCAAGGCAGTTCATCCGAAACGTCGGGTCTCCCCGAACTACGCGTCGTTACAACACAGAAAACCTTCCACTTCTTAGCAAACTGCAGGTGTGCATTTTTCATTGTCTGGCGATGCTGTGGATTGAGGAGGATACTTATGGCTGGACACAGCGCATGCGCCTGATCACGCGTTCGTACTTTTCTCGTTTTAGAGTAATCTGTTTCGCTTATATTATTCTAAGTTAGCTCTCACTTTAAAGATAACACTGTTCATGAAGTTTATAAGGGCTATAAGAATGTAAATGCCGGTCACGGTAGCCGAGCGGTCTAAGGCATATACTGTCTTCGCTCGCTCGGAAGCCGGGATCGTGGGTTCGAATCCCACTCAGGGCATGGATGTTTGTGTGCGTTTTTCTGTGTTTGTCTACAGGTAGAGGCCTTGTGACGAGCTGATCACTCGCCCAAGGAGTCCTACCGTATGTGTAAGATCTAGAAAAACCGAAGTGAACGGAGTTCATGGAGGTAGGCCTAGGCCCACTGGGGCTGTAGTGCCAAGGGGGGGGGGGAACAAGAATGTAAATACAGTTACCAATTCTACAGTCTCAACATCCACCACCCGAAACTTCGCTGCTATTTACAACATATAGAACTAATCAGATAGATCTGCATTATTGTATACCTCATTCTGTACTTACTTCTTCGCATGATTCGCAACAGAAAAATTAATGTCATTTGTGGTTGTTTCTTTTCCTATATTTGCGCAGAAATTTCTCCTATGATCCAGTGATAACGATTGATTACAGGCTAATAGAACTGCTGTCTTGGTCCATAAGCTGCTTAACAAGACCAAAGATCCCGGACTAAAGGAAGAGGTATGTAAATCCTACTGTATGTAAATTTTCTTAAAAGATATTAAGGTTTCATTCATCAATGATCTAGAACCCTTTGTTGGGCTCTGGCCGCCTTTTCAGTTTCGTAATCCCGTACTCAGTCTGTAGGACACCCTGGACTGGGGATCAACCAGTCGCGAGGCCACTACTTACACGCAGAACAGCACGAACACAGAGAAACCCACATAGACATCCATTCCTCGAGTGGGATTCGAACCCACGAACCCAGTGTCATAGCAGGCGAACAAGGTTCATGCCCTACAAAGCGCGGCCACTGTGATTGGCTAGTAAAGGTTTTATCTGTCTGAAACTTAGTAGCAGATTCTCTGCAAATGTAATTAATGAAACCTGTTACAGATTATAAATGGGGATGTAACTAAAATCGAGACAATTGAATAACCCCACTATATGTACCTATAAACATAAAGTGAGATTATGTTTCTATTGTGAGACGAAGTCCTCCTCGTTGTTGGGCTCTGTAAAAGCATTGCCTGTGTTAGCACGAAGGGTGTACGGAAATGCTTACTTACTCCTTTGCTTTATTGCCCTTGAAAAGCCTTGACATTTCTTACGATAGCAGCTACACTTTTCTGTTAATTTTCTTTTGCCTTCACCTCAGCCTTAAGCTCTCGTATACGTGTATTATTCTTTCTATTTGCCAATCAATTCACGCGGGTCATTCTGGCTACTTAAAATAATTCTTAGCTATCCTTGTTTGATCCATTTTACTCATATGCCCCCAACGACTTCAATTTTCTCCTTATAATATTGTAGCTTGTGTAGCTGTTGCTATGCAACGACTGCTGGATGGACGGATATACCATGGCCGTTTCTTGTCAGCTCCTCGATAAATACGTTCCCGCAGCAACAGACACGAAATCAACAATAGAATAGCTGTGTTTTCTATGTGATTCGTGCCGAGATGTTATAAACAAGGGAGAAGGTTAGAGGCAACGAAAAGAGAAAGCAGTGCCTGGGGATATAATCGGGCCACCCTGTTCCTGAGGATATAAATACGGGGACCTGGCCCTCCAGGCTGGGGAAGTCTTGAATCTGAGAGAGTAAAATTTGGTCATAAATCCCGCGGGACTCGACCTTGAGAATGTCTGCGCTTGCGAGGGACAGAATCAATTGTAAAAGACAGACCCATCCTCTCGTCAGAGAGGATGTTACATAAGAGCTATAACAGCAAGAGTTTAGTTGGGAAATAAAATTACTGGTCGTGAGTCTCAAGGGGCTTGTCACCAAGACTGATTGGCGGTAAACACTCAGTCGTGAAGTAGTTAGTTAGTTAGTTATTGGAGAGGGTGGGTTTCCCCATGCACTTAGACCAGTATTGGTCCATTGTGCTTCCCTCTATGATATTCTAACAGTCTCTATACCCTACCGATATTGGTGCGTACCATCAGTCCCGACCGAGCCAGCGAGTTCGGCCTCTACTGGCTTGGCGGTATCTATAATGCTTCCCCCATCTATCAGAGGCGTTAGAGACTACTGTTGGGCGGGAAATGTCCTTGAATTTGGCTCAGTGACCTCCTTTGGAGATATGAGGTTCTTTTACGTGCCGTAAAGTTACGACACGGGGCCCATGGCTTAAAGTCCCTCCCGGAGGACTTGTTCCCTGAATTTTTCCGCCTTTAAAAATTCCACGACCTCCGCCGGGTTTGAACCCGCGTACCACGAGTCATGAGGTGGGAATGTTACCTCTAGACTACGGAGGCCGCTTCAGTCGTGAAGTAACTCCGACTCTGAGCTTAGTCAGTTCTGTACGGGAGTCTGTGTAGATAGGACTTGAGCCCGGAGGCAGAGGAATAACCATTGTTGGAGCCGTTACCAGGAAATATCTAGTAACAGGCTTAGAACATTAGACTGTGTGCTCCAGTGAATTCTAAAGTGTGGAAATAGAGATAGTGTTATATTTACTTGTTACGACCAGTAAATTCAGCAATCCAAACCCCGTCTATAGTACCCCTACACGTGATAATATTCGCTGTCAGATCAGGAATAGCCTCAGTTTTTGGTTGGTTCTTTGCTTCACTACTTGTGTATTCAGATAGAGCACATACAAAATTCTCTTGAAGAGACTGAGTTACTCGGACTAACGTTCGGTTGATTACGGAAAATAGCGAAGTTTCTGTTACGAACTTCTTACTGTTAATACGGGTAAAACGTGTAATAATATGCGAACTGATCAAATATACATTACATTTGCAGTACTCTACCAGATTCCAATAATTCACAAGGTGACATTAGGAATAAATTCCCAGAAAGTGGAAATAATATGTTATTAGATTTTTAGTTCATTCATTCAAGTATGTTCGGGTGGTTATCGGTTCGAATCTAGGCCAAGACACCGACTATATCGACTTAGATTTTACGTGGCTTACTTCAGTCCCTCCAAGGAAATATTGGGAAATTAAATCACGACCAATTCCTTAAAAAAAATTTCAATTCATTTTTCACTACTCACCTTAAGATTCCACTGTACATAACCTCAATTACTGATATCGTAGTTAAATAAGCCTTAGACAAATAAATACAATAGTTTCACATACAGAATGGAACTGCAAGCAGGCCCATAATTAGATTCTAAAGGGTTCTGACGATGGTGGATAATACAAAATTACTGGGTTTTTGGAATTTTTTCATGGTCCGGAATTCTATGAAATATAATTCCGGACGATGGAACAATAAAAAAATCCTGTAGGTCCATAACTGTTTGTTTCAGCTGCAGTTGTTCTCGCTACAGCTGCTACATCGGAAAGTCCACTTCACAGCTTTCGGATTCTTTCCTCTAGATTTCACTCTTCTTTACTCGGTAAGTAACGGATCAGCTGTAGTGGGGAAACTGTTTGTCTGAAGTTGGAAAAGAACATAATGAAACGAGCGCTACATAAAAACAGTTCTTAGCTACTCTTGTCTGATCCATTCCAATCATATGCCCCCAATGGCTTCAGTTTTCTCCTTATAATATTGTAGTGTGTAGAACGGTTGCTATGTTACGACAGCGAGATGGGCGGATATACCAGGGCCGTTTCTGGTCGACGACTTGGTAAACACGTACCCATGGCTAGGCAGCAGATTCTTAGTATTACAACAGTTGGACCATAACAATGGAAGAGCTGTTTTCTACGTGCTCCTTGTCGAGATGTTAAAAACAAGGGACAAGGTCAGTTGACGGTTCAGTACGGATCTGTGAAGAGAGGGCTTGAGCCAGAGGGTGAGGAATAGGTATTGTTGGAGCCCTTACCAGGAAACGTCTAATAACAGACTGAGAACATTAGATTGTGTGACCTTGTGAATAATAAAGTGTGGAAATAGCGAGTGTTGTAATTATTTGTAGTTACGACCTGTAAGTGGTCAATAAATCTATTCACCAATCCAGTCCCCATTTATAGTCACACACCTACTATGAGAAAATATTTTTAGTCAATTAGTTCCCAACTCTACGGCTCCATCCTACTTGAGATCACACTGAATAGAGCCTAACCTATTTCATCTGCGCTTAGGTCCCAGAACCGATGTCTCCTTCATGTGTTTTAATTAAAATTCTACTATTATTTTTTGTATTGCTAGTGGGGTAGGACTAACTCCCTTGTACTGCGGCCACTTCTGGCCTATTGTACCAGCCCCAGATGATAGGTGAGGGTGATTGTGGAGCAATTGGTGGAATGAAGATTGGCAGGGGAAACCGAAGTACTCGGAGAAAACGTGCCCCAGCGCCACTTTGTCCACCACAAATCCCACTTGACCAGACCCGGGATCGAACCCGGGCCGCCGCGGTGGGAAGCCAGCGACTACCGCTTGAGCTATGGCGCGGCCTAAAATTCTAGTAAAGTGAGCAGAACTCATGGAAGTACCATAATGGTTACAAATTATTTCCTTTTCCAGAAATTAAGAAAGAGTTACTGCAGTTTTTGTGATTTTTTGCATCTGTTCAGTGATCATACACAAGTAGCCTTGAAATAATCTTGCACATATCTGATTACCTTATGTTTATTATTGCATGTTGCAGATCACCGGGGCAGTGACAACGTACTTGGTGATCTTAATACAGTTTCAGCTCTCCTTCGCAAACCCAAAACAGAATGCCACAGTCTCATCTACTCTGCCTGCCACCATGAGTTCAGATTTCTTCACACCAACTTTGTCGCCCTAGTTTAATCAGGTTGCTTTGCCCACAGCACAATAAGCAATGTAACTAACTGGATAAGTATGTCCCGTAACACAGTGTTTGTTTGTGCGAGCGTGGTCTAAGGCATTAGGGTCAGAGGCTTCTTCCGGCAAGTCAGGTCCACTTAATCTATTTTTGTTGTTCCTTTTCTTTATTGCGACATGTAAAAATGTAATTTTGCTTGTAGTTTTGTATGGGTGTTAAACCTGGTTTCTGATATTAAGGGAGGAACACAGACCAGGGTACTGAGGAGAATAATTCAACTTTAGAGGAATGAAATCATAGGAGGTTGCAGAAAACTGCATGATGAGGAGATCCCCAACTTCTATTCTTCGCTAAAAATAATTAGAGTGAAGCCAATGAGGATGAGATGGGTCAGAATGTAGCATGCATGGAAGGGTAGAGGACTGGATACAGGGTTTTGAAAGGAAATCAAAAAGAAGAGACCACGCAAAACCTAGATGTAGGTGGGAGGGTAAAGAGATAATGGATCTTAGAGGAATAGGATTGAGTACTATGGACTGGCTTCAACTGGCTCAGAGCAGGAAGGGCTACTGTTAACATGGTAATAAATCTTTGGTTACATAAACTGTTGAGAAATTCTTGTGTAGATGAGCAGCCCATGGCTTCTCAAGGCAGAAACAGCTCCATGGAGTAAGTTAGTTGAGTTTACTCTCTACTTTCTTCAGTCCTGATGTTACACTTTTGTATGTATGAGTTCCCTTCTCTGCAGTCTAGAAACTCATTGTAATGGAAAATTGTACATAATAATGTCATTTCTCTGCTAAAGCACTGAATAATTTATGTGGTTCCTCTGATTTGTCGTGTAACGTGTTCTGTGTTCCTGATGCAGGCAATAAGACGCTACATAATGCCTACACTTATTCTGAGAGAACTCTTGTTTAATGAAGCATATGCTTGTGTTCATATTCCTTCAGTGCTTGCAGTCTTGAGGTACAGCATATGCCACAACAGAGCATTCACCACTCGAAGACGCCTTTTCTCTATGTTCAGTGTGCATGGCAATCTAATATATTTGTACAATTGTAACCTCACCAGATTTTGCACATAATAAGTCTGCTGGTGATTGCTGTCTTTGTTGTATTTAATTTTATTACTTATTTTTTTCCAATTTTTAATGAACTATTTCCTTTAGTTAGTTTTATTACCATTAATGCTATTTTGTCGACCAAATTAATCATCAATTGCACCATTATCTGAAAAATATTCAAATAGTAACCCCAGAAGCTCTATTACTCACAGATCTTTATTATAAAAGCTGTCAGGAGAATGAATGCAGTGTTAATATGGCAGCTATGTTATTTCCAGTTCTTCACTAAAAGGGTCTTTATCACATCTGGTTGTATTTCGATGATACAACATTGCATACACAATTCAGGAACTCACATTAAATGGCACAACTGTCACTTGCATGCTGGGAGTTGGCACAGCCTCCATACTTCAATTATTTATGTTAAGTAATTAAAAATTAGGCAGGTATTAAGCACCATGTTTACGCAAAACTTCATAAAGTTTATTAAGGTTGAGAAAATGTAGAGAATTATGTGTGTGCATGTGCACACACATGAATATAGCTCTGGTTTTGCTACAGACCAGACCTATATATCATTATACAGTAATTGTATACTTTAAGAATGGAACTGTATACATTTACAGATGTGTAATGAAGTTGGTCAGTAGATCATTCCAGTTTAGGATTAGAGAATGATGTCCCAACAGATACAATCTTGAGTTAAATTTCATTATGTTTGAAGAGCTCATTATCACTGTTAATGTGCTCCAATATATTTATGAAAGTGGATGTTGTTATAATGACAAATGTATGATTAGAAAGTATGTAACATTTGTGAAACAGAAGAAATTGTTGTTAACTTTTCTATGTTCAAGATGACCTGTAAAATTAAATTAAATACTCATTCTCTCATTATTCCCACTTACCTGACAGCATAGGTCATAGTAAAATTAAAAAGAAAATAGGTTATACTATTAATACTCTTACATGTCAAACAATTGAAAGGAAGACAAAATCTTCACATGGTTGCTATGTTATTGTTTCACAGCCTGCAAGTGATTAGATAAAATCTGTGTATAGTCTGAAGATTTATTAGCATTCATATCTTCAGGTTTAAATGCTGTTAATGTCATCCTCACCTCACAAGCTGGTGAGCCTCCCATGTGGTTATTATTTACTGTCACAAACTAAGAAGGTTAATGTTACAGTGTGGGCAGCCATATGCAACAAACATAAGCAGCATGGTGGTGTTACAGCTCAATTCATTCACTTAAGACTTTTCATCATACGGCCCCATTGTGAAAGGTATCTCATGTAACATTCTTCAGTTCTTAGAACCATTATGTAATAAAGAGTTCACGAAATAAGTAAAGTTGTCCCTGTGCTTAACTAATTAAGCACTATGGCATAAGGCATACATGGGTGTGGTTGTATAGATCCATATTTTCTTGACCTCGGCACTAGCTGGAAGTGATTGGTCAGCTTCACGACCTGGCTGCTTTACCCACGGTGAAAGAGCCCCTGGTACTCATTTGATAGGAGGTTGGGTGGACCCCAGAGCCAGTCTGGATGATGTGGAGAGGGAAAATTCTTGACCCTGCCAGCATTCAAACTCCGACCCCTTGGTCACCCAGCCTGTAGCTAGTAGCTATCCCGACTATGCTATCCCAGCTCCTGAAGGAGTTCAAGGAATTCTGAATTTATTTCATCATATACAATCTCTGGTGTTTGGAATGCTTCATCAGAAAACCCAATCTAAGATATTTTATTCTATCTTCATGCATACGAACATAGCAAATTCAAAGTAACAGTTACAAACAGTGACTCTGTTGACATTAAAAAAGTTAGCAAAGATACACATACCATAATAATTATGTCACATTAATTTCCTTTTATTTGTGACAACAAGGACACAATTTTGGACAGAATGGAACTGTGACCTGTACAGAACAGAAACAGAGCCCACAGATTTTATTGAGTAATTTGCTTCTTGAAATTAACGAAAAATTAGCTTGTGATTANAAAGTAACAGTTACAAACAGTGACTCTGTTGACATTAAAAAAGTTAGCAAAGATACACATACCATAATAATTATGTCACATTAATTTCCTTTTATTTGTGACAACAAGGACACAATTTTGGACAGAATGGAACTGTGACCTCTACAGAACAGAAACAGAGTCCACAGATTTTACTGAGTAATTTGCTTCTTGAAATTAACGAAAAATTAGCTTGTGATTATAATTATTATAGGAGGATCACTGAGCCAAATTCCAGGACGTTTCCCGCCCAACAGTAGTCTCTAAGGCCTCTGATAGTAGGGGGAAGCATTATAGACACCGCTAAGCAAGTGGCCGAACTCGCTTGCTCGGCGGGACTGATGGTACGCACCATTTATCAGTAGGGTAAAGAGACTGGTAGAATATCATAGAGGGAAGCACAATAAATCAAACTGGTCGCGGTGCATGGGGAAACCCACCCTCTCTAAATAACTAACTAACTAATTATTAAAGGAAATAAGAAAAAAACATAACCTAAATTTGTTGCCAGCGATATGGACCTCCATAGTTTGATTGCTCAAGGGCCCCCTCCAGTGTAAATCTGGACCCAGCTACTTTGTTAAATATTTAACGGGTTACTTACCAATGAGGTTATTGGATTTTTTCAATTTACCTAATCTTTCCAGCCACACTATGGCCCTGCTGTCAATTCAGCCTCTAACAGAAATGAGTACCTGGAATAATCTTGGGTGTAAAGGGCGGCCGGCATGTAGGGCTGACAACCTTACTGCCATCTATGAGCCGATTGTCTAGAAAATGTGGGAACCTCAATATCTTATACCCCTATGGGCCTCCAAGGCCTGTTACAGGGATTTCCATATTCCGTAGTG